TGCACTCTTCTACTTTCTTCAAATTCATCCAAGAGTTCTCGTCTAATGACACTTTTAAGAGACCTATTTGATAACTCAAGATTCCGTTCAACACTGTCTTTATTTACTGCAGCCTTAGCAAGAGCGTCAACTTTATTATATTCCTGTAGGCCAATGTGAGAAGGAATCCACAACATTTTTATATTTACCCTCTTGTTAAGTATGCAAGGGGATAAATAGTAAACAAACATATTTATGTCTGGCGTCTGAGACAAGCACGTTATTACTTGATTGAAAACTGTTAATTGCTCGTAGTGAGGAAAGGGAGTCGGAAATAATTAGGCTGTCTACTTCGGTGTTGTCAATAATTTCGAGTGCTAACCGTATTGTTACCAACTCAGCTTGCATTGTGGATGCCCAGTTACTAATTCTTATATTCCTTTGAATTGTGCTGCCATCGGGCTGATGGGCAATAACAGCACTTCCTGCCCTCCCTGTAGCTGTATTGAGTGATCCGTCAGTGTATATGGTCTGTGCGGTGTTGTTTTTAGTATGTATATTGTGAATGTGTTCTATGATGCTTAATTTAGCAGCAAGCTGAGCATGAGGGATATTTGTGGTTAGTTTCTTCAGTCTATCATGCTCCTTTATCCGGTGGTCGACCCCAAGAACACATGTATTAATTTGATCGTACTGCGCATTTAAAATATGTTTTTCAGCTTTAAATTAACTGTATTATACATTAAAATTTTATGTTTAATTAGGCGTAGGTTAGGTTAGGTTAGGTGTGTAGATTCTCCAACCCATTCTCAGACCATTTTGCAGTTGTAGAATGTTAACGCATTCTGTGGGTTGTAGACCATTCTGCAACCCACGTACTATAAATACAAATAATCGCCATCTGAACCTAAACACCTAACTTAACCAATACCAAAATATTCACAGACCTAATATATGTAACTATTAATTATGTTTGAGAAAATTCATAGTTTGAATGAACAGCATGTTCAAATTGATGAATGCGTCTTTAGGGTCGACCACTGGATGAAATGGACTTGGCCTGAGGACGGGTTGTTTATAGAGGTGCGGCTCGAACACAGAAATAAAGTGAAGCACTGTTCGAGAATAGTTCGAACGTCGTCAGCTGTGAGTCGTGTACAGTTGATTCATTAACAAGGGGTTTCATCGGCAGGATTAACAAGCATTTTACCTTTGATTATTAGGACGAGCTGCTATCACTACTGATCTCTGAATGTCCCAATTTCCTCCCCAACAGGTGAAGACAGTGTTCCAGACGGTGGTTCAAACCCAGACGGTTCGAGACCAGGTGACTCGGACCATTCAGGAGCCCCGGTACTTCACACAGACCCTCACCACACACTTTCCGGTCTCGGAGGTCAGGACGCTCACCAAGACCCAACAGCAGTTTGTCACCGTCACCATCCCCGCCCAGTGTGGCGGCGGTAGTGGTGGTGGTGGTGTCATCACTGGTGGTGTTGGCGGTGGTGGTGTCATCACTGGTGGAGTTGGCGGTGGTGGTGTCATCACTGGTGGTGTTGGCGGTGGTGGTGTCATCACTGGTGGTGGCATTGTTGTTGCTGGCTCCCCTGGTCAACATGGCTACAGGTACAACTTGTAGCCATGTACTCAGCCATGTACCAGTACTCAGTGTGCTCCCTCAGCCGTTGAAATTGGACACTGACGCTCCATTTAGCCGGATAAGTGAAGCTACGATAATTTTTTTTTACCGTGTATAAAAAAATAATTGATGCCAGTTTTGTATATGTATTATACATGTGATATTATATTTTTCCTTTTTTATATATCAGTTTCTAGTGCCTACCTACGTTCATAGTCTCATGACAATAGATATACGATTGCATATTTTAAGAGTACCTTCGCGTGCAATGCAGCCAATTTGCATATGACAGGCTTCCTGTAAGATTATCCTGGAAGCCCATATGAAAGCCAGAGGAGCAGCAGCTCACACTCCCAGGAACCCTTACCAAGGTATAACTTTACTGAGGTTAGCCTCAAGCCTTCAGGAGATCGAGTGGTCAACTTTGATCATTCCGACTCCTGCTTGTACTGTTAGGTCACGGAAACTCAATGTGTGGCCACGTCTGTGGTAGAAAATAATAAAAAAAAAAAAAAAAAAAAAAAAAAAAAAAAAAAAGGTCACGGAAAGTGTGACCTATAGTGTCCGAGCACCATAGTCACAGGGTACTGTACACAGTACTATGGTGTCCGAGCACCATTGTCACAGGGTACTGTACACAGTACTATGGTGTCCGAGCACCATAGGTCACAGGGTACTGTACACAGTACTATGGTGTCCGAGCACCATAGTCACAGGGTACTGCACACAGTACTATGGTGACCGAGCACCATAGGTCACAGGGTACTGTACACAGTACTATGGTGTCCGAGCACCATAGGTCACAGGGTATTGTACACAGTACTATAGTGTCCGAGCACCATAGGTCACAGTTTACCGTACACAGTACCATGGCACAGGTCTGGTGGAAAGACACGTTTTCATACCAGACGTTTATTTAAGTTTACCGCTAAGTACATCAACTAAGGAATCTTCAGCTGGTTAACAAGTTTCACAACAATAACTACCAACCACTCGGCAATTCGTTCCCAAGGAGCTGGTGAGGAGCCAACATGGGGGGGGGGGTAGAAATAGCCTAAGCTACTCTATCCCTTTGAGATGTATTTCCTTCTTGTCTCAATAAACATACTTGAGGAGCCACACTGTCTCCCAACCAATCCCTCCAACTACCAGTGTAGGTTATCTTGAGATGATTTCGGGGCTTTTTTTTTTAGTGTCCCCGCGGCCCGGTCCTCGACCAGGCCTCCACCCCCAGGGGTAAGCAGCCCATGCATGACAACTGACTTAACACCCAGGTACCTATTTTACTGCTAGGTAACAGGGGCATAGGGTGAAAGAAACTCTGCCCTTTGTTTCTCGCCGGCGTGTAGACTATAATCGGAAACACACAAGGCCAGTTTACCTCCTTGTTCACGCAAAAAAAAAAAAAAACTAAATGGTAGTCTGATGAACGTGACTCGTTCTCTCAGTCAAGATCCAGATTAGATGGGTCAAATCACTCATGAACTATATCCCCTTCAAGGTGTGACACATTTTGAAAGGTTCTCACGGTGGGTCTTAACAAGAGCGATGGCGACCAATCAGTTATCAGATCACCAACGACCGGGTATAGGTTAAGTAATAATTGTAAATAAGAAGCAATAAGATGCTTATCTTAACATACTAAGAGGGTTAGGTGAGGTCGGTGTTTTCTATGAAGCTTTTCAAGGTAAACTAAAATATTCACAATCAATTAGTATGGCACATATGCACTTATTAAATAAGCCAATATTGACTTTAAGCAAGTGCGAGAACGGGTTGCGGGATTGCGGGATTACACAGCACTCAGGTTCTAAACTCACATCACACTACAAGGAGCCGTTCTCTGGCTTGCTGCTTACACGTTCCTGATGGGGCTGGAACGAGCCACCCAGCTGGGTGTTCCCGGGAAGTGATGTAGTGGGGCGTCAGCTGTCAGCCCGTCCACCGTAGGTTTCCAAACGTCAGGAAACTGTCAGTGCTAAAGTGCCCTTTCCCTAACCTACCGGAAGACCCAAAACAGAAAACAGGGCAGTATGTCATTTTCGCGAGTCACTACCGTTTTCTAGTACGACAGTTTTTGGCCTTAGGTGGAGTATACGTCAAAATGCGACGTGTTATTAGGAGGACGGGTTGGGCTGTCGCTGCGTCGTACCTGCTGCTATCCGCCCTCCTGCGTCGTGGCGCCAACGACGGTGACGACTCACGGTCGTATGCGACTAACGACCCGATAGACCAGTTTTATTAAACCAAGATGAGGTGAGGAAGTTGTATTAAACAGAAGTAGAAGGATGATGCTGTAATAAGCCAGGAGGAGAGGAAGGGAGATGCTGTATCCACGAGATACAGCATCAATATAATTTTTTGTTATTCTTGTCAACCTACACTCAGGAAGCTGTAAGATGCATGCCACAATAGTTGCCTAACTCCCGGATACCTGTATTACTGCTAGGGAGAACGGAGGGCATTAGGATAAAGGAAACGTACCCAACCCTCTCTGTCCCGCACGGGGATCGAACCCGGGACCCTCGGTCGTGAGTCGGAGGAGTGGGCAAGCAGGGAAGGCAAAGCATTCCCCAACTGCCAATATATGCTTGCTAAAGACTGACAAAAACAGCTTAATTGGTCACAAAAGCCTTAGATATGGACAAACTTGTGTCATCTATTTCGAGCGACATAGTTACCCTTGTGTACTGGTGCGCCTCACAGGTACTCTGTGGTCAGAGTACCTGTGAGGTTGGCGGCCCCTTCAGGTAGGCCTCAGAAGACTAATCCCAAGAGCATAATTTTCTTTAGACGATCGCCCTTGTCTCAAGGCCTCAACGTAAGATTTTCTTTGTATATGTTTATGCCTTTGTTATGATGAACAGCTGTTTCCTGAGTGTCTACAGGTGTTGTGTGCTGCTTCACCTGTCGGTTGTTAAAGATTTATTGCTTTATTAGTGTAATCTTTTAAATATGGATTCTGCTGTGACGGGGATTAAACAAAGCCATCTATATCTATAACAGAAAGTGTCTGTCTGTCTGTCCATGGGTGGAGGGGCAGACGCTTGGGGCCTGTGAGTGGTAAACAGTGATCAGTTTTGCTGCAGGAGTAATGGGGAATATATAAAACTCGGTAAACAACATCAACTTTATATACGTCTACACATTGACAACAACCCATCAGACTTCAAACAATTCCTTTGTAGTTTTTGGTATTCTTCCCAGAACACACACACATTAGGCAGTGATGTGGTTGGAGGCTGACTCCATACACATTTTCAAATGTAGATATGATAGAGCCCAGTAGGCTCAGGAACCTGCACACCAGTTGATTGACGGTTGAGAGGCGGGACCAAAGAGCCAAAGCTCAACCCCCGCAAGCACAATTAGGTGAGTACAATTAGGTGAGCACACACACACATACACACACACTGAACGGAACTGCAACGTTGTATCAAACAAAATCAACATTAACGTTGTATTTGTCGTGTTCCATTGAACTATCCCGGCTGTAGAAAATCCTTATCTACACTAGAGCAACAAGCCATGTACGTAATGAAGTGAAGAAGGTCTAGAAGTAGTCATTTACTAAGGCATCCTTGGTGGAACCAGCCAACATTATCATCTTAAAATCCCCACTTGGCAAAAAATCCCTTTTTCCAGCTTTGTTGGGGATGTGGCACTGGCCTGGCGTAGAACGGGCCGTAGAACGGTCCGTTGAAGCCGTTGTTGCTGAAGGAGCTACTGACGTAGCCGTCCGGCGCTGGCACCACGCTTCCGCTCTGGAGAGACCCGGTGGGCAGGACACTGCCGGTGTCCGCCCCGCCGCCTCCAGGAGCCGGGTACGAGTAGCTGCCTTCAGGGGCCTGGTAGGAGTAGCCTTTGGACGGGGCGGAGGCGCAGGCGGTGTTGGGGACGTACTGGATCTGGGTGGTTGTGACGTACTGGGGCTGGTACTGGGTGGTGACGCTGATGACCGTCTGGAGAACCGGATTGGTTCTGGTCACAGTGAAGTACTGGGTCTCCACCAATCGTGACGTCACCACCTGCAACATGGCACAACAAACTTGCAATTATATCGTCACTTTCAAATATTTAAAAAAAATTAAAATCCTATAAGAGTTGATGACATCACTGTATTTTGTAATATATAATATATATATATATAAGAATTTTAGTGTATAGGTAGACCTAAATAAGAGTAATTTATGTGTTAAGGTTGTCATCAATTACTTGTAATTAAACTACGTAAATAAAGCATTTACACAGGTGCAGTTCTAACAGTGAAACGATGTTTGAGAGGTGTTCTAACGACATCGTGCGAGTTGGACTAAAAATATTTATATCCATCAACAGGGGGTTTGGCGGCTAGATTAACGAGCATTTGACCTTTGTTGATGAGGATGGACTGTATGTAAACAAAGTTTTCCTAAACAGAGATTTTTTTGGCTGATGGATTAACGAGTATTTGACCTTTGCTGATGAGGACGGGCTGTCTCTTGCGTAGATTGACTCACCGCTGAAGAACCGACGTAGTCAACCCGTCCTCGACTCAAGTCCATTACATCCAGCGGTCGACCCCACAGACACATTCATAAATTTTAATATGCTGTTCATTCAAAACGGGAATTTTCTCAAGTATAAATTAATATTACAATATATTAGCATATTGTGCATATATCGGCATAGGTTAGGTTAGGTTAGGTGTTTAGGTTCTGTTGGCGATTATTTGTATTTGTAGTACGTGGGTGAAGCATTTATAGCGTTGTGATTCGAACAAAATTCGTCAGTGAAGCAGTTGTTCCGGATATGTTCGAACGTCAGCAGTTGTGAGTCGTGTGTAAACCGCTTTTCATTCATAAACAGGGGGTTTGGCGGGTGCACGGAATCACTTTTGGATCTTTGTTTGGAGGACGGGCTGACGTAGTAGACCCAGCGCTCAGCCCGTCCTCCAAACAAAGACCCATAAGTGATTCCATGCACCCGCCAAACCCCCTGTTTATGAATGAAAAACGGTTGATACACGACTCACAACTGTTGATGTTCGAACACTTCTGGAACAAGTTCTTCACTGACGAATTTTGTTCGAATCACAACGCTATAAATGCTTCACCCACGTACTACAAATACAAATAATCGCCAACAGAACCTAAACACCTAACCTAACCTATGCCTATATATACACAATATGCTAATATATTATAATATTAATTTATATTTGAGAAAATTCCCGTTTTGAATTAACATCATGTAAAAATTTATAAAAGCGTCTGTGGGGTCGACCGCTGGATGGAATGGACTTCCATTAAAGCGAAGATGGGTAGCAGCTTTACCCGGGAGGAAGGGACTCTGCCCTCGTATACAGCGGCCCACTGATCGCTAATCCGGCTGCTGAACCGTTTGTTTAGGAGTGAAAAACACTTTACTCAGTGTACAAACACTAAGAGTTTACACTGAGTTTACACGGTGTAAATACAATGAGAGTTTACCCCTAGACTATGTTCAAGACTAAAGTATACTTGCTGGAAGGTCAGTAAGCACTTGTGGTGACCTTAATAATCTTCCAGAGGTTGAAAGGCCCTATAAGTGCAACACCAAACCGAACCCAAACCAAGCTGGAAGCGACTTGGCTGAATCTCTTAACAATCAGACGCGGTGTAGGCAGTTGATTTCCAGAGTACTGACCTGGGGTGGGGCCTGGACGGTGACGTAGGAGGTCTGGAGCTGGACTCTGGTAGAGGTGACTCGCTGGACCACGGTCGAGGGGATGAACACCTTCACAGAACAACAACATCGTTCATTAACACTGGATCACTATACCAGCTTAGTCTCTGCGCTCATTGGTTATTCCAGTTCAAGAAGACATGGATAAGGTATTTATTAAGAGAAAGCCCTAAGTTAGTACGCCTGTATTGTGCTTGGAAGGGATATGAGGACAAGGAGCTGGGGTATGAGGACAAGGAACTGGGTATGAGGATAAGGAGCTGGGGTATGAGGACAAGGAGCTGGGGTATGAGGACAAGGAGCTGTGGTATGAGGACAAGGAGCTAGGGTATGAGGATAAGAAGCTTGGGGTGTGAGGACAAGGGAGGACGGAGGGAAGGAAAGGTGCCCAACCACTTGCACCATCTGGGATCAAGGCGAGGCTGTGGCAATACCAACCAATAGCTAAGATAATTATCAGGAGAGCATATCAGTGTTTACACAAACACTAAGATGACTTGATCACCTTTGGGTAAATATATTCATACAGTAATACATCTTAAACACTCTGTCTCTCTCTCTCTCTCTCTCTCTCTCTCTCTCTCTCTCTCTCTCTCTCTCTCTCTCTCTCTCTCTCTCTCTCTCTCTCATCCCCGAAGACTGACCTGGGAGATGGAGACGCTGGTTGAGACCACAAGGTCCCTGGAGGTGACCACAACGGTCTTTGCTTCACAAGACCCCTGGCTGGTCTGTGGGATGGTCTCAGCCTTGGGAACATCGTAGAGCCCTGCGGGACACAACCAGTACTGTAGCACCTTAATGGTTTCCTATTGTTAAGGGACACAAAGCCGTTAGGCTTATGGAGGTCCTCTGGGGGCCAATGAATGGGGCTTTTCCAGAGCGAGACCCACAGGGTGGATTCACTTGTCTCTCCCCCGGGTACCTATTTACTCCTAGGGGGGGGGGGGGGATAGAGGCATCAGGTGTAAAGAAATGTATTCCAAATGTCTCTCGCCCTGCTCGAGGATGGAACCCGGGAGCACTCGTTTGTGAACCGAACACTGGAACGGTTCTGTGTCTTGTTTAACAAACTAAATTAATAATTTCATGATTATATTGAGTGTATTAACATAATGATCAGTGTGTGGCTATTAATAGTATTATTATTATCTATTGTTTTACTAAATAATGTACTTGTAATTCTGTAAACAATGTCATTTCTAAATGTACAAACATTTATTTATCTCTCAATTATTTATTTTATTTTTAACTCAAATTTATTTGAGTTAAAAGTTATTTATTTTTATAAAAAGTTGAAGTTATTTATAAGTTATAAATAAATAATATAAGTTTTAAAGTTATAAATAAATGAAGTTATAAATAAATAACTCAACTTAAAAGTTGAGTTATTTATTTTTAACTTAAATTCTGCACTTCTACCAATTTCCTCTGTCATGGAGGATTGTGTCGGCAAGCAATTGGCCTACAAAGCTTAGATCCGTATTTAGCAACTGTATTTCCTTTGAACTTAATGACAAGGAAAAAATAACCAAGAAAAAAAAAAGGACTCATTAAGTAAAGATTTATGGCAGGCCACCAACCATTGGGCCAACACTTAGTGGGCCAGCCAGAGGCTTAGGGACTTGATTGGTCGGGAGCCGGTCGGCCGAGCGGACAGCACGCTGAACTTGTGATCCTGTGATCCTGGGTTCGATCCCAGGCGCCGGCGAGAAACAATGGGCAGAGTTTCTTTCATCCTATGCCCCTGTTACCTAGCAGTAAAATAGGTACCTGGGTGTTAGTCAGCTGTCACGGGCTGCTTCCTGGGGGTGGAGGCCTGGTCGAGGACCGGGCCGCGGGGACACTAAAAAGCCCCGAAATCATCTCAAGATAACCTCAAGATAACCATGACCACACACAAGGATAGTTCTCAGGAATACCCATGGAAAAAAAATAACGTACCATTGAGCGGGAGGACTGGGCTAGGAGGGACGGCAGCCGGTTCACTTCTGGCTTGGGTAGACTCGTCACTCTGGATGGCAGGGGGGAAGGTGGGGACAGGCGCTGGGGGCGCGTCCAGCACCTGGAGAGGGACAGGGGGCGTCGGTAACTTGGCGGGAGGAGAGAGTGGTAGAGTGGAGCCCACCGACCTGATATCAAGATCACTTATCTTGTGGTCAGGGACTAAGTATTGATCAGGAAGTGTCGGCAGCTTGTCGGCTCTGACGGTCGGCTGCCAGGTCGACATCAGCACCATCAGCGTCACCCACGGGGCCTCCGTCACTTTCATTGTGGCCCTACAGAAAGGGAAATAGAGATGTTACTTCAGAAATTTAAATAGATAGTAGCCTAATAACGCCAAAAATATTGATATTATCTTGTAGATTCTAATCCATGCCTTGAAGGCATACAGTGCAACTTGCGCATCAATTCAGTTACAACATAACTGAGTACTATACTTGGGGTCAACCCCACCTACGTAACCCACAGTGGGTACAAATGCCCACTGACAAGTCCTACCAACACATGGACACACAGTTACACATACAGACAGTCCAGACTGACTCCCACGAACCAAATACGAGTCCAGGAACACAAAAGCCTCAAACCTCACTTGACAAAGTAGCGGTTCAAGGAAGAAACAGCCTGATAGATCAACGAGAGGCGGCACTAGATCATCTCACAGATTCCGAGCCTCGAACCGTCGACAACTAATGTCCACGTGAATGAAATATATTCGTATATATACACATGCTTTAAGCTTGTATTGAGGTTCTCAGAAGGTGGAACTACTGACCCCCCCCCCCTAACAGGATGCAACCCTCAACCGTTGCTTAACTCCCGGGTTCCTATTTACTGCTAGGTGAACAGAAGCATTAGGTGAAACGAAACAAGCCCAAGAATATCTGTCCCGCCGGGATTCGAACCCGTGTTTCGCGATTATGAGTCCAGAACTACTTTACTGCTACATGCAAGCATATAGTAGAGTTCTTAAGCTATAGGAAGACCGCTTAATTTATTCTCTAGAAAATCGAGGCTTAATGGGTGACATAAATGAAATGTATGGATGAATGGGCTTAATAAATGGAAACATATTAGGCACTAAATATCCACATAAATTAAAACACAAAACAATGGATATAAATTGGATAGATTCAGATTTAGGGAAGGCCTGGGTAAATACTGGTTTGGAAAAACCATTGTTGATTTATGGAAGAAGTTATCGGGTAACATAACTGACCCGCATAACAAAACCTCAAACCCATCCTGTGGACGGCAGTGGCAGTGAACTCACCAACCAATGTAGGTGAGAATTATTATTATTATTTACTTGCTAACAATTCAACACATAAGTGTTTTCAGCTGATCAAGGGCCTTCAGGTTCCAGTAAAGAGTATTCAGCCTTTTGGGAATTTACCGAAATTTGTCATTCGGTTAACGAAATATTTGATGTATCGTTACATGGCGATAGAAGCACCATGGCGACACAGGACAGCTGCACCATGGCAACACAGAAGGACAGCTGCACCATGGCAACACAGAAGGACAGTTGCACCATGGCAACACAGAAGGACAGCTGCACCATGGCAACACAGAAGGACAGCTGCACCATGGCAACACAGAAGGACAGCTGCACCATGGCGACACAGAAGGACAGCTGCACCATGGCGACACAGAAGGACAGCTGCACCATGGCGACACAGAAGGGCAGCTGCACCATGGCGACACAGAAGGGCAGCTGCACCAAGGTGACACAGAAGGGCAGCTGCACCGTGGCGACACAGAAGGGCAGCTGCACCAAGGTGACACAGAAGGGCAGCTGCACCGTGGCGACACAGAAGGGCAGCTGCACCATGGCGACACAGAAGGGCAGCTGCACCATGGCGACACAGAAGGGCAGCTGCACCATGGCGACACAGAAGAGCAGCTGCACCATGGCGACACAGAAGGGCAGCTGCACCATGGAGACACAGAAGGGCAGCTACACCATGGTGACACAGAAGAGCAGCTGCACCGTGGCGACACAGAAGGGTAGCTGCACGATGGCAACACAGAAGGGCAGCTGCACCATGGCAACACAGGAAGACAGCTACACCATAGCGACACAGAAGAACAGCTGCACCATGGCAACACAGGAAGACAGCTACACCATAGCGACACAGAAGAACAGCTGCACCATGGTGACACAGGAGAACAGCTGCACCATGGCGACACAGGAGGACAGCTGCACCATGGCGACACAGGAGGACAGCTGCACCATGGCGACACAGAAGGACAGCTGCACCATGGCGACACAGAAGGGCAGCTACACCATGGTGACACAGAAGAGCAGCTGCACCGTGGCGACACAGAAGGGCAGCTGCACGATGGCGACACAGAAGGGCAGCTGCACGATGGCGACACAGAAGGGCAGCTGCACCATGGCGACACAGAAGGGCAGCTGCACCATGGCGACACAGAAGGGCAGCTGCACCATGGCGACACAGAAGGGCAGCTGCACCATGGCGACACAGAAGGGCAGCTGCACCATGGCGACACAGAAGGGCAGCTGCACCATGGCAACACAGGAAGACAGCTACACCATAGCGACACAGAAGAACAGCTGCACCATGGCAACACAGGAAGACAGCTACACCATAGCGATACAGAAGAACAGCTGCACCATGGTGACACAGGAGAACAGCTGCACCATGGCGACACAGGAGGACAGCTGCACCATGGCGACACAGGAGGACAGCTGCACCATGGCGACACAGGAGGACAGCTGCACCATGGCGACACAGAAGGACAGCTGCACCATGGCGACACAGAAGGACAGCTGCACCATGGCGACACAGAAGGACAGCTGCACCATGGCGACACAGAAGGACAGCTGCACCATGGCGACACAGAAGGGCAGCTGCACCATGGCGACACAGAAGGACAGCTGCACCATGGCGACACAGAAGGACAGCTGCACTATGGCGACACAGAAGGACAGCTGCACCATGGCGACACAGGAGGACAGCTGCACCATGGCGACACAGGAGGACAGCTGCACCATGGCGACACAGGAAGACAGCTACACCATAGCGACACAGAAGAACAGCTGCACCATGGCGACACAGGAAGACAGCTACACCATAGCGACACAGAAGAACAGCTGCACCATGGCGACACAGGAGGACAGCTGCACCATGGCGACACAGAAGGACAGCTGCACCATGGCGACACAGAAGGACAGCTGCACCATGGCAATACAGAAGAGCAGCTGCACCATGGCGACACAGAAGGGCAGCTACACCATGGCGACACAGGAGGACAGCTGCACCATGGCGACACAGGACAGGTGCACCATGGCGACACAGAAGGACAGCTGCACCATGGCGACACAGAAGAGCAGCTGCACCATGGCAATACAGAAGAGCAGCTGCACCATGGCAATACAGAAGAGCAGCTGCACCATGGCGACACAGAAGGGCAGCTACACCATGGCGACACAGAAGGACAGCTGCGCATTGGCGACAGTCAAGCTGGGAAAGTAAGCCACAACTCACACTGGTAGAGGTCGTGCCAGATGGGTCGAGCAGGAGAGCGACGTGCACACACCACGCTGGTCAAAGAGGTACTGAGAGTCTGAGAACGGAAAGGTGGGCATCCCCCCATTGAACCCCTGGCCGGTTTACCGACCCACCGCTGTCCCTCCCCTGGCCGGTTTACCGACCCACCGCTGTCCCTTCCTTGGCCGGTTTACCGACCCACCGCTGTCCCTCCCCTGGCCGGTTTACCGACCCACCGCTGTCCCTTCCTTGGCCGGTTTACCGACCCACCGCTGTCCCTTCCTTGGCCGGTTTACCGACCCACCGCTGTCCCTTCCTTGGCCGGTTTACCGACCCACCGCTGTCCCTTCCCTGGCCGGTTTACCGACCCACCGCTGTCCCTTCCCTGGCCGGTTTACCGACCCACCGCTGTCCCTTCCCTGGCCGGAGTAGTGAGGACCGAGTCTCGGCGTTCCAGGCATCATCCGGCCACATGTCCCTTATATGACCTTGAGCTTGGAGAGTGGGCGTCTGGCTGTCTCTCTCTCCTGGTCCCTACGGCTACTTTTCTCCTCTCTCGTACTCACCCAATTGTGCATGCGGAGGGGTTGAGCTCTGGCTCTTTGGTCCCGCCTCTCAACTGTAGATTCTCGTGTATTCTCTCCCTTACTCCTGTGTATTCTCCACTACTCGTGCGAGTATAGATACAAGCTTTACATGAGTTAGTATGTATACAAGCTCGTGTAAAGACTATGATTTATGGACACTTAAGGTTAAGCCTCTTAGGGCACAAGTGTTAATTCTGAGCGGTGAAGACAGGCCGGTCTCTGGACTGGCCACTCCGTACAAAATACAACTGTCTTGCCTGTAACCAGAAGCGGACAAACCCAAGCAACCCACCAAACCTATCAAGGCGTGTAGATTTGGTGGGCTGCTAAACAACGGTAATACTGACGCATGGAAGGCGTCAGTATTACGGTGCTGTATATTAGTACTAATTCGTTGTATTTTTAACATAGTAGATGTGTCACAATTTGAAATATTGAACGTAATCCACTTAATTATTAGTCCTTCATTAGTGACCATTGTCATTGTGATTGACAGCTGTCATTGTGATTGACAGCTGTCATTGATGCTGTGACAGCTGTCGCACCTTCACCCACCAATAATTGAGCACCTGGTTGTAAACTAATTAGTGGGTGGCGTTCCAGGGTAAATGAGTAGGGTAAGGCTTACCCTGAGGTAATGGAAGGGTAAACACTCTGCCTGCTAGCAGGAGTCAGCAGTGGTCTGCTCTTTACTCCTCTTTGGAGGACAACAAAATCCCAGAGTGGAATGAACGCGGAGGTGCCAACAGCCAAGTTGATCACATACAGGTAACCACAACCAAACATAGTTTCAAATGTGCATGGTTGAGCCCCATAGGCTCGGGGACCCGCGGATAGCGGTTGATTAACAGATGAGAGGCGGGACTGGAGAGCCGAAGCTCAGCCCCCGGGCAAGGACAATTAGGTGAGCACAGTAGTGGAAGACGGTCAGGCCCTACCTTTCAAGGGAGCGGTGGCTGAGCGGACATAACACTGGGCGCGTGATCATGTGGTCCCGGGTTCGATCCTGGGCGCCGGCGAGAAACAATGGGCAGAGTTTCTTTCACCCTGATGCACCAGTTACATGGCAGTAAATAGGTACCTGGGAGTTAGTCAACTGTCACGGGCTGCTTCCTGGGGGGTGGAGGCCTGGTCGAGGACCGGGCCGCGGGGACACTAAGCCCCGAAATCATCTCAAGATAACCTCAAGATAGGCCATTACCACGAGAATATGTTCACTCATGGAGTGTTGAGCTCCACCGCAGCCCACTCACACACAATGGTTGATCACGTGGTGGTGTTTGATACGTGTATACGACGGTGGTTGACTGAGCTTCATAGTGCATCACAGTCTTGACGGTTTCTACCACTGCGTCAGATTACCTGCGGTTTAGTGACACTAAAACCACACCAATACTGACGCATCCAGGAAGTATTGAGCATCGACTTAGGTCAGTTGGTCGTCTAAGTTCATACGCTTCTGGTTAGGCAAAACCACTTCAAATTTGACGCTTGTCGTGTCGGTGAACTCCTCATTGTTTCTTCTGACCTACCCGTTGAAGATTCCGGGGATTAATGTCCCCACGGCCCGGTCTCTGACCAGGCCTCCGGATATCCTCCATCCAGGACTAGATAGGCCTGGAGGAGGGCTATCCAGGATAGGCCTCTTCTAGACCTAGTCATATTTACTCGCTGTGTTTCCTCCTAAAATGCCTGACGGTTCCGGAGGGCAGCGGGGCTCTGGGTTGTCCTGACCTATAGGTGCTTCAGCTCTTGGGCCCTACCTTTCAGTCGTTGTTCAATGGGATATTTTATTGACACGTCTCCTGACCCCGAACCAGTGAGAAAGGGAGGTGCAGTGTGCCGTTCTATGTATTAATTTGTATTCCTCTGTTTGCCGTTGTATTCTCTGGTCACTCAACATGACTGTACCCAGCGTATTACAGAGCCATCATATGTTCTCGTTAGGTCGTTACAAAACGTCATTAGACAACTTGGTCTTTACACATTTAATATAATTATGACCGCCAGATCCGTGTGTCTCAATAACACTTGGAAGGGATATTAGACTAACAAGTGGGATATGAGAACGGAGAAAAGGGACCAGTGCCCACATACTTGAGCCTTCGAACGCCGACCTGGAAGAAAGTGAAGCAGCTGTTGTACCGACCTGTGCCACTGGACATGGGACTGAGGGAACGAGAGATATTACGAGACTCGTAAATAAATGCTTGACTTGGTTTATGGCCGTCGTACTGTGCTTTGAGAATAGTAATATTTTATTTTTTGTCCTCGTGTAGTGAAGGTGGTGATGGTCCGGTGCCAGAGACGTGAGCAGCGAGAGGTGAATGAACAAGTCCTGTGTAACAAGTTTTTGTTCTTTATTATTATTATTATTATTATTTTCTACCACAAACGTGGCCACACATTTACAATGCTAACCAGCATACCATAGATTTTCTTCTGTCCTCCATGGACAGGGTTAGAGATCTGTTAAACATATAATTCGGTGATTTATTGAACAATCAACCGCAGAAGGTGATTGTAGTGCTTTTAAATTGCTAAACTAACCTACAAATTTAATTGTGTGAGAGGTGAATGGACTAGTCCTGAGTAAGTGGTAAATGAACTAGTCGTGTCTGATAGGTGAATGAACAGGTGAATGATAGGTGAGGTGAGTTCTGTGACAGGTGAAAACACGAGTCCTTTTAAGTGTAGTGGACCATAGACCACAGAAGTACCAAGCCAAGCATCAGGCAACTTGTGGTCCACACAGACTGGTCTCTGCTGAACTTGGCACCTGTAACTCCTGCACCTCCCCCCGCCCCCCCTCACCCCTCCCCCGTCTCTCTCTCTCTCTCTCTCTCTCTCTCTCTCTCTCTCTCTCTCTCTCTCTCTCTCTCTCTCTCTCTCTCTCTCTCTCTCTCTCTCTCTCCTGCAACCTCCAGTTTGCTAATTGTACATTTCATTACAAGACAACTAGGAGCCTGTGAGCCCCACTGCTCATCATTCATCATACATGCTAGTTTATTTTGTTAGTTGTATGTGTTTTGTAGTTTGTTGTTGGTTAGTGATCATTGGTGCACCTAGAGGGTCTCCGTGGCGCAGTGGTAGTATGCGCACCCTACTTGAGGGGTGAGCAAGCAATTTCCAGACCAGTCCGAGCTCCGTGGTAGGATTGCGTACCGATTCTTAACTACTCGCCCCCTGTTCATTTTGTAGTAATTGGCAAACAGGTTGTAAACCGATTGACATGACATGTTCCAGGGGGGAAAACTAGCATAGTGTAAGACTCAAGGTAAGGTAAGGTAATTATCAGGGGAACGCACCAAGCCATTACGACTATATAGCACTGGGAAGGGGGTCAGGATAAGGATTTGGGATGGGACGGGATGGAAGGAATGGTGCCCAACCACTTGGACGGTCGGGGATTGAACGCCGACCTGGATGAAGCGAGACTGTCGCTCTACCGTCCAGTCCAAGTGGTTGGACTGGACTCAAGATGAAGGGCAGGGCGGCACAGCTCTTAACATGGCTAAATAGGAGTCAGACGTCGTCGACTGCTCCTGTCTACCCCAGTCCTATGTAAACCTCTGGACCGACCACTGTGTCGCACAGTCCATAGAGTCTACAGGTTCGATCGAATTTTGACCATAAGCCTCCTCCCAATTCCACCAACGACCAGTAACAACGTCCGCTTCTTGCAGGTCGGCGTTCAATCCCCGACCGCCAGGTGGATGGGCACCTTTCCTTCCCTAACGTCCTATTCCAAATCCTTATCCTGACTATTCCAAGGGTTATGTAGTCGTAATGGCTTGGCGCTTTCTCCTCATAGTTCTCTTCCTTCTATTGCCATTATCCTACAGCCATCTCTCTATGAAGGACCAATCGAATGTAAGGGGAAAACGCTAAGTCAGTTTGACAATTTAGCACTTGGAAGGGATATGAGGACATGTAGCTGGGATATGAGGACAAGGAGCTGGTATATGAGGACAAAGAGCTGAGATATGAGGGACAAAGAGCTGGGATATGAAGACAAAGAGTTGGGATATAAGGACAAAGAGCTGGGATATGAGGACAAAGAGCTGGTATATGAGGACAAAGCGCTGGTATATGAGGACAAAGAGCTGGGATATGAGGACAAAGCAGAAATATGAGGACGGAGTGAGGACCGGTGCCCAACCACTTGTACCATATTAATCGAACACCTGCCTAGAACATCATGCGGCGATCGGCTTACAACCAAGTCTCCAGTTACTAATGAGTGAACAGGGCGAACACTTAAGAATCTGTGCCCATTTTATCCTAACCAAAGGCTCGAACCTGGATGAAATTACTAGCGAGACTTCGGGTGTAACTATAGCCTGAGCTTGTAAAAACATCTTAATTACCTTCAGTGGTGGGGTGCTTAATAACACACTAGTTTCTATAGCAGCTATCTTACCCCTGTCAAAGTAGGAGAGACATAGGTGCATGTACTCACCAAA